GAAAAGTTATGAATCAAAATTTAAAACAACCTCGGAAAAAAATAAGCATTTTTTACATATTCTGATGTAATTTTCTCGAAAACTATGCAAGATAATGCCATGGAAATCACCATACATTCGTTTCTGCAGAAGATCTTGATCCCTGCTGAAAATTGCCAGAATCGGTCCACAATTTCATATACCTCCCATACAAAAGTACATATTCCCGGAAAATGGGTTTTTTGTTAATAACTTCCGCCACACTGTCGATATCTTCACAAAGTTTCACAAATTAAAATCTTATGTCAATGGAATTCTTTTAGAGGAAAAATTTTATGGATCGGTCCATAATTGGACATAGCTCCCATACAAGGTCCCATCCCGAAAATCACTTAAACGCGCATAACTCATTACTAAATTAAGATATCCATATAAAATTTGGTATACTTATTATCCATATGCATAAAAATATTATTGTGAAATTTTTTTCCTATCGGTCCATAATTGGTCATAGCTCCCATACAAGGTCCCCTCCCGAAAATCACTTAAACGCGCATAACTCATAACAAAATTAAGATATCCATATAAAATTTGGTACAAGTATTAGTCATATGCACAGAAATATTACTGTGAAATTTTTTTCCGATCGGTCCATAATTGGTCATAGCTCCCATACAAGGTCCCCTCCCGAAAATCACTTAAACGCGCATAACTCATTACTAAATTAAGATATCCATATAAAATTTGGTATAAGTATTGCCCATATGCATAGAAATATTGCTGCGAAATTTTTTTCCGATCGGTCCATAATTGGTCATAGCTCCCATACAAGGTCCCCTCCCGAAAATCACTTAAACGCGCATAACTCATTACTAAATTAAGATATCCATATAAAATTTAGTATAAGTATTGCCCATATGCATAGAAATATTGCTGTGAAATTATTTTCCGATCGGTCCATAATTGGTCATAGCTCCCATACAAGGTCCCCTCCCGAAAATCACTTAAACGCGCATAACTCATAACTAAATTAAGATATCCATATAAAATTTGGTACAAGTATTAGTCATATGCACAGAAATATTACTGTGAAATTTTTTTCCGATCGGTCCATAATTGGTCATAGCTCCCATACAAGGTCCCCTCCCGAAAATCACTTAAACGCGCATAACTCATAACTAAATTAAGATATCCATATAAAATTTGGTACAAGTATTAGTCATATGCACAGAAATATTACTGTGAAATTTTTTTCCGATCGGTCCATAATTGGTCATAGCTCCCATACAAGGTCCCCTCCCGAAAATCACTTAAACGCGCATAACTCATTACTAAATTAAGGTAGCAATATAAAATTTGGCACAAGTATTACTCATATGCACAGAAATATTACTGTGAAAATTTTTTTCGATCGGTCCATAACTGGTCATAGCTCCCATACAAGGTCCTCATATACAGAGAAGTATTACTGTGAAATTGTTTTCCTATCGATCCATAATTGATCATAGCTCCCATACAAGGTCCCTTTCAGAAAAACACTTAAAGGCACATAACTCATTACCAAATAATGATATAAATAAATACTATTTTTGTTCATAAATACTATTTTGTAATGCAAAAAGCACTTAATGTTATTTCAAAAATTTTTCACGATCGGTCTATATTTGGTCATATTTACATACTAGGTCCTGCCCCTAAAAGCGCTTTAACCGTATTTAACTATTTGCATTATCAATTTGTGTAGAACAAAATTATATATGTATGTATTTTGAAAATCCTTAAATCTTTCACACACAAGCAAATACTAGATATCGCTAAAGCATATCTTAGGGCGCTATAAAAATTTAAAAGAAAGTGGCGTTTCTAATGTTCAATAAATCTTGGAATTGTAGTAGATTTAAGCTGTTTAAATCTTGGGATTTTTCTATTTATGACATGAGAAAACTTATTTCTACAAATATTTTATTAATTAGAAATGTATTAATACAAAAGTTGCTGGTGGAGGGTATTTAAGATTCGGCTCAGCCGAATATAGCACTCTAACTTGTTTTTCTTCTTCTCTTTTACGCTTTAAGTGAATGTGCCACAACATTCACTCATTTAACGAGAACGCAATGAAAGTTCCAAAATATTCTCATGCCAAACGATGCAATAAATATCGGTCATGTGTTTGGGATATTAACTTAAGTTCAATTTATATTTTTAATAGTTAGTAATTTAAATAATTTCTTTTTATTCGCAACAGGCTGTACTTCTGTTGACGATGTTTATTGAAAATTGTTAACAATTAGCACAAGGTAGGGGAATAAATTGACAAAAATTTACTTTTGCAAATGATACAAAAAACAAATCATTTTAAATTATTGCAACATGTGTGAACCGATATTTTTATAAATAAAGGGGTCATAAGTATATAAATTGAAATGATTCGTACAATATTTAAAACAAGCAAAAAAAAAAGATTTTTCACCAAAAATCTGATTTTTAACTGAAATACACCTGAACTACAGCTTAACTACAACTGAGAACTGAACTAAATCTAACTACTGAACTAGAACTGAACTAGAACTGAACTAGAACTGAACTAGAACTGAACTAGAACTGAACTAGAACTGAACTAGAACTGAACTAGAACTGAACTAGAACTGAACTAGAACTGAACTGAACTAGAACTGAACTAGAACTGAACTAGAACTGAACTAGAACTGAACTAGAACTGAACTAGAACTGAACTAGAACTGAACTAGAACTGAACTAGAACTGAACTAGAACTGAACTAGAACTGAACTAGAACTGAACTAGAACTGAACTAGAACTGAACTAGAACTGAACTAGAACTGAACTAGAACTGAACTAGAACTGAACTAGAACTGAACTAGAACTGAACTAGAACTGAACTAGAACTGAACTAGAACTGAACTAGAACTGAACTAGAACTGAACTAGAACTGAACTAGAACTGAACTAGAACTGAACTAGAACTGAACTAGAACTGAACTAGAACTGAACTAGAACTGAACTAGAACTGAACTAGAACTGAACTAGAACTGAACTAGAACTGAACTAGAACTGAACTAGAACTGAACTAGAACTGAACTAGAACTGAACTAGAACTGAACTAGAACTGAACTAGAACTGAACTAGAACTGAACTAGAACTGAACTAGAACTGAACTAGAACTGAACTAGAACTGAACTAGAACTGAACTAGAACTGAACTAGAACTGAACTAGAACTGAACTAGAACTGAACTAGAACTGAACTAGAACTGAACTAGAACTGAACTAGAACTGAACTAGAACTGAACTAGAACTGAACTAGAACTGAACTAGAACTGAACTAGAACTGAACTAGAACTGAACTAGAACTGAACTAGAACTGAACTAGAACTGAACTAGAACTGAACTAGAACTGAACTAGAACTGAACTAGAACTGAACTAGAACTGAACTAGAACTGAACTAGAACTGAACTAGAACTGAACTAGAACTGAACTAGAACTGAACTAGAACTGAACTAGAACTGAACTAGAACTGAACTAAACTAGAACTGAACTAGAACTGAACTAGAACTGAACTAGAACTGAACTAGAACTGAACTAGAACTAGAACTAAACTAGAACTGAACTAGAACTGAACTAGAACTAGAACTGAACTAGATCTGAACTAGAACTAGATCTGAAACTAGAACTGAACTAGAACTGAACTAGAAACTGAACTAGAACTGAACTAGAACTGAACTAGAACTGAACTAGAACTGAACTGAACTAGAACTGACTAGAAACTGAACTAGAACTGAACTAGAACTGAACTAGAACTGAACTAGAACTGAACTAGAAACTGAACTAGAACTGAACTAGAACTAGAACTGAACTAGAACTGAACTAGAACTGAACTAGAACTGAACTAGAACTGAACTAGAACTGAACTAGAACTGAACTAGAACTAGAACTGAACTAGAACTGAACTAGAACTGAACTAGAACTGAACTAGAACTGAACTAGAACTGAACTAGAACTGAACTAGAACTGAACTAGAACTAGAACTGAACTAGAACTGAACTAGAACTGAACTAGAAACTGAACTAGAACGGAACTAGAACTGAACTAGAACTGAACTAGAACTGAACTGAAACTGAACTAGAACTGAACTAGAACTGAACTAGAACTGAAATAGAACTAGAACTAACTAGAACTGAATTAGAACTGAACTAGAACTGAACTAGAACTGAACTAGAAATAAAATCGTACTGAACTAGCACTAAAGTAGAATTGAACTAGGACAACACTAGAACTGAACTAGAATAGAAGTGAACAAGTACTGAACTGGAATGGAACTAGAACTAGAAGTGAACAAGAACAAGTGAACTGAACTAAAACTTTTATTTATTCTAGAAATCGAAAATCGTAGTTCTTTGAATATTTCCTTCCTACTTAAAATTAACAAAATTTTATAACGTATCACACAATATTGTAAAAATTAAAATATACGTTTAACAAATTTCTTTTTTTTACAACTTATTGCCATTTTAAAATGCCTTAACATGCAGACAACCATAAAAATTTCATGGAAAAAGCACTGCACACGATCGATCAATTTCCTGTTGATTTAACTTCAAAAAGAGCAAAAATGTCATTGAACATTAAAAAGAAACGTGAAACTGCAATGAATTCCCTTAAAAGAAATTTATCAACTTAATTTATTTATTTACTTTCAACGCCAGGCAATACAATGTAAAGTTTAGTTAATCTTAACCTATTTTGGGGGAAAAAAACTGATTTCTTTTAAGAAAATACATTGTAAAAAGTTCGAAAAAAAGAATATAGTTCAAACCCATAAATCAGTTAAATGCAAAAGGAATGAGTACAACTGAAGTAGAACATATTGTAGAAATGAATACTTATGTAAGTAAAATAAATACAATTTTTGACCCACTTACCTGGTAATGACAAAACGCCATTCAAAGCCAAGGTGGCGAACAATACAGCCATAAATAATTTCATTTTTATGCTGTTGATTTTTTTGTTTGATTTTTTTTAGCTTCCAAATTCACTCACAATTTTTGTTTATAAATAATTTATTTTTTTTGTTGTTGTTTATTAATTCAACAAATGATAGCTGGTTAAAAAAATTCACAGATTTTTTTTTGTTTATTTTTTGTAGATATTTTTTTTTAAATATTTGTGTTATTGAATAATATTTCTAGAAATAGTTAAAATTTTAAGGAATTATTTATTGAAAATAAAAACTTTTATTTTTAAAATTTCCACTTTTTTTTAAAAAGATTTGTTTAATAAAATATGTTTTTTGTTTAACTCGTTAGGTTTTGTGGTCTTTGCGCGTCTACAGTCTACAAAGGTTTGATTGTGATTATAAAAGTGGTCGCCGGTCACTTTAGAATACAATTAAGCTCGACAGGTTCTGTTGTTTATAATTTGTTAGTTTTTTTTTTTTTTTTTGCTGTTGTTGTTTTTTGTGTAGTTGTAGTTCCAACTCAATAAGTATGAGTATTCAAAGCGTTCAAGTAGTATGTTCTCACAATCAGTAGCTTGAAATCAAATGAGAAATACAAAATTCGTTGTTGTGATTCCATATAAATGTTCATGTATGAATGTCGACCTAACTGCCTGTCTATCTATGTGAGTATCTATATACATTTGACTTTTGTTGTTGATTTTTACTAGTCGAAACAATTTGTTGTTTATTATTGCGTTTGAGTAATAGGTTTTCAAAAGAATGCATTCATTTAATTACTATCAAACTCTGGGAGAATGAAATATTCCCCAAATGCTCCTTTACTAAAAATTCATAAACTCTTTATGTTCCACTTAAGCTCTTCTTGCCTGCAACCACAGCTGTAAATCTTTCTAAGTTAAATTAATTAATTCTTTTTAAACTCTGCAACATTTTTTTGTTATCATTGCAATTTTTAGTTGTTGTTTTCTACTTAAGCTTATTTAAACACTTTAAACCGCAACAACAACAAAATAATGACAAAAATAACAAAATTAAGGGAAGCTTACAATTTGTTGCTATTTTTGTTGTTTTTCAATTACTGTAAACGAAAAAAAAAAAAAGAATAATTGAAACAAACATATGGTAACGCTATCGTTATATCATCGTTGCCGGTTATTTACACCCTGACGCACACTTTAGGTTGACGGCGAAAATATTGGGTTTAAAATAAACTAGAACTGAATTAGAATTGAACTAGAACTGAACAGAACTAGAACTAGAACTGAACTAGAACTGAACTAGAACTGAACTAGAACTGAACTAGAACTGAACTAGAACTGAACTAGAACTGAACTAGAACTGAACTAGAACTGAACTAGAACTGAACTAGAACTGAACTAGAACTGAACTAGAACTGAACTAGAACTGAACTAGAACTGAACTAGAACTGAACTAGAACTGAACCAGAACTGAACTAGAACTGAACTAGAACTGAACTAGAACTGAACTAGAACTGAACTAGAACTGAACTAGAACTGAACTAGAACTGAACTAGAACTGAACTAGAACTGAACTAGAACTGAACTAGAACTGAACTAGAACTGAACTAGAACTGAACTAGAACTGAACTAGAACTGAACTAGAACTGAACTAGAACTGAACTAGAACTGAACTAGAACTGAACTAGAACTGAACTAGAACTGAACTAGAACTGAACTAGAACTGAACTAGAACTGAACTAGAACTGAACTAGAACTGAACTAGAACTGAACTAGAACTGAACTAGAACTGAACTAGAACTGAACTAGAACTGAACTAGAACTGAACTAGAACTGAACTAGAACTGAACTAGAACTGAACTAGAACTGAACTAGAACTGAACTAGAACTGAACTAGAACTGAACTAGAACTGAACTAGAACTGAACTAGAACTGAACTAGAACTGAACTAGAACTGAACTAGAACTGAACTAGAACTGAACTGAACTGAACTTGAACTGAACTAGAACTGAACTACAACTGAACTGTAACTGAACTAGAACTGAACTATAACTGAACTATAACTGATCTATAACTGAACTATAACTGAACTAGAACTGAACTAGAACTGAACTAGAACTGAACTAGAACTGGACTAGAACTGAACTAGAACTGAACTAGATCTGAACTAGAACTGAACTAGAACTGAACTAGATCTGAACTAGAACTGAACTAGAACTGAACTAGAACTGAACTAGAACTGAACTAGATCTGAACTAGAACTAAACTAGAACTGAACTAGAACAGAACTTGAACTGATCTGGTACCAAACATGAACAAAGGCCACCCTAATACCTACGTATGAGTAAAGAAAAAATGTCGGTTTCAATTTTATTTTTGTTCAACTATTATAACTGGCTTTTATCTAGCTTAATTTTTTTTCTGTAGAAATTTCTAATAGAACAATTATATTCTTAATTATAATACTTTAAATATTTACGTAGTGTACGGCTATGAATCATTTTCTACTTAGAAGAGAGCAAATTTGTACCTGATTTATTTGCATTTAAAAAAAAATCTATGCAGATTTAATAGAAATTCAAACTTTCTCATTGCAAAATCAAGGTTAGTTACAATTAATTAATTATGGAGAAAAATAGAAATAAAATCAGTCAAAATGATGAACGACTTTTGAATAGTAAATTAGCACGAATAATAATGCAATTATATTTAATGTGATTGACTGTACTTAATAATTAAATGTCGTCATGAAATTTCGTTATAATTAAATCAGGGGAATGACATTAATTAAAAATTGATAACTAAATAAAAAAATATTTGTAATTATTTAATTTTAATTGTGTCTAATTAACACCATATTTGAAATATATTAGAGAATAATGTTTGATAAAAATACTAAATTTTTAAACGTTCGACATTTCACATTTGCCTAGTATTTTAACATAACCATTAATTTCACAACAATTAAAGATTGTTTGCTGGGTAATCCTAAATTTTGAATTAGTTGCCGAATTTGTAGGCGGTTATTATTATGTATTTTTTTATATATAGAAATTATTATTAGATATTATTATATTTATATCACTCATGTATTTTCCGCTATCAAATTATCTAAACTTATTAAATGACGTAAATCTAGTTAACTAATGATAGTATTAAGGTATTAAGATTCATTCTAATACATACTCCTTGTATACTATAGGTGATCTACAGAGAAGACTATAGACAACCTATAATCAAGACTATAGACGATATACTGTAAAGACTATAGGTGATTTATAGTAACGACAACAGATGATATATAGTGAGGACTATAGATGATCTATAGTGAATACTGTAGATGATCTATAGTGAAGACTATAGATGTTCTATAGTGAAGATCTATAGTGAAGACTATAGTGAACTGAACTAGAACTGAACTAGAACTGAACTAGAACTGAACTAAAACTGAACTAGAACTGAACTAGAACTCAACTAGAACCGAACTTGAACTGAACTAGAACTGAACTAGAACTGAACTAGAACTGAACTAGAACTGAACTAGAACTGAACTAGAACTGAACTAGAACTGAACTAGAACTGAACTAGAACTGAACTAGAACTGAACTAGAACTGAACTAGAACTGAACTAGAACTGAACTAGAACTGAACTAGAACTGAACTAGAACTGAACTAGAACTGAACTAGAACTGAACTAGAACTGAACTAGAACTGAACTAGAACTGAACTAGAACTGAACTAGAACTGAACTAGAACTGAACTAGAACTGAACTGAACTAGAACTGAACTGAACTAGAACTAGAACTGAACTGAACTGAACTAGAACTGGAACTGAACTAGAACTGAACTAGAACTGAACTAGAACTGAACTAGAACTGAACTAGAACTGAACTAGAACTGAACTAGAACTGAACTAGAACTGAACTAGAACTGAACTAGAACTGAACTAGAACTGAACTAGAACTGAACTAGAACTGAACTAGAACTGAAATAGAAAACTGAACTAGAACAAGAGAACTAGAAATACGAGAACTGAACTAGAACGAACTGAAGAACTGAACTAGAACTGAACTAAACTGAACTAGAACTGAAAGAAGAACTGAACTAGAACTGAACTAGAACTGAACTAGAACTGAACTAGAACTGAAACTAGAACTGAACTAGAACTGAACTAGAACTGAACTGAATGAACTTGAACTAGAACTGAACTAGAACTGAACTAGAACTGAACTAGAACTGAACTAGAACTGAACTAGAACTGAACTAGAACTGAACTAGAACTGAACTAGAAAACTGAACTGAACTAGAACTAGAACTGAACTAGAACTGAACTAGAACTGAACTAGAACTGAAACTAAACTGAACTAGAACTGAACTAGAACTGAAAGATAAAACTGAACTAAACTGAACTGAACTAGAACTGAACTAGAACTGAAGTACGAACTAGAACTGACTAGAACTGAACTAGAACTGAACTAGAACTGAACTAGAACTGAACTAGAACTGAACTAGAACTGAACTAGAACTGAACTAGAACTGAACTAGAACTGAACTAGAACTGAACTAGAACTGAACTAGAACTGAACTAGAACGAACTAGAACTGAACTAGAACTGAACTAGAACTGAACTAGAACTGAACTAGAACTGAACTAGAACTGAACTAGAACTGAACTAGAACTGAACTAGAACTGAACTAGAAACTGAACTAGAACTGAACTAGAACTGAACTAGAACTGAACTAGAACTGAACTAGAACTGAACTAGAACTGAACTAGAACTGAACTAGAACTGAACTAGAACTGAACTAGAACTGAACTAGAACTGAACTAGAACTGAACTAGAACTGAACTAGAACTGAACTAGAACTGAACTAGAACTGAACTAGAACTGAACTAGAACTGAACTAGAACTGAACTAGAACTGAACTAGAACTGAACTAGAACTGAACTAGAACTGAACTAGAACTGAACTAGAACTGAACTAGAATTGAACTAGAACTGAACTAGATCTGAACTAGAACTGAACTAGAACTTGATGACGATATATAGTGAAGTCTATAGATGATCTACAGTGAAGCCTATAGATGATCTACAGTTAAGGACTATAGGTGATCTATAATCTAGATTTAGGTGATTTACAGTCAAGACTATAGCTGATCTACAATAAAGAGTATAGCTTATCTGTAGTCAAAACCATATACTGATCTATATCGAAAACTAGAGAGAATCTAAATTTAATACAATATT